GACACCTCCCGCCAGCCCAGGCTGCTCTAAGCCTCATCCAACCGGGCCTGGGATGCTCCCAGGGATGGAGCAGTCACAGCTGCTCTGGGAAATCCATTCCAGTGCCTCAGCACCTCCCAGGGAGGAATTCCTTCCCATATCCCATCTAGCCCTGCTCTCTGGCAGTGGGAAGCCATTCCCTGTGTCCTGTCCCTCCATCCCTTGTCCCAAGTCCCTCTGCAGCTCTCCTGGAGCCTCTTTTGGCACTGGAAGGGACTCTAAGTTCTCCCTGGAGCTTCTCTTCTCCAGGCTGAACATTCCTAGGGGATGGAGCAGCCACAGTTTCTCTGGGTAAGCTGTGCCAGTGCCTCAGCATCCTCACAGGGAAGAATTTGTCCCTAATATCCAATCTAAGCTAGCACATGGAATCCTGGAATGATTTGGGTTGGAAGAACATTAAAGATCACCTCGTTCCACCCCTGCCATGGGCAGGGACACCTTCCACCAGCCCAGGTTGCTCCAAGCCCTGTCTAGCCTGGCCTGGAACACTCCCAGGGATGGAACAGCCACAGCTGCTCTGAGCAACCTGTGCCAGTGCCTCAGCACCCTCACAGGGAGGAATTTCCCTGTCAGATCCCACTGGATGCAAGCCAAGAATCCATGGGATCTTCCATCCAGGCAGCCCCAAGATTCCCTCAGCCTGAGGGTGACAGTGGGACCCCTTTATCCCCCCTCACTGTCCCTGTGAGAGCTGTTGGGCTGTGGCAGGTTTGAGCTGCCCCAGGGGAGCAATCACCTCCCTGGGAATTGATCACAGCCACAAACACAACATAACCCCTAAAAATTGATTGATTGTGTTTTCTCCCCTAGCCATGGAGTGCAGGGACAAAGCAGCTGTTCCTCCACGGAAGCTTGTGCAAGGTAAGGGAGTGTCTGGCACTAGGTGTCACCTGTGGAGGTGTCAGACCTAATTTTGTGGTAAACCATCCCTAATCTCATCTTTGCACCTTTAATCCCCTGAGTAACTCACTCAACCTTTGTGTTGCAGCTCGACTGCCCTTCAAGCGCCTCAACCCTGTGCCAAAGGACAAATATGATGTGGATTCAGAGGTGAAAAAAGTCAAGAGCTCCCCAAGTGCTTTTATTTCAAGCAAGGATCCCTCCCTGGATCCATCCTGTGCCTCCCTGGACAATGTGGAGAATGACTGTCAGTTGGGCTCAGCTGGGAATTTGACTCCAAAACTTGTCAATGATAAAGATTCTTTAGACCATTTTGTCCAGAAAAACACCAGAGGTGACACAAGTGAAACTGGAATTGTCCCTGAGCTGCCCAAGGGCTCTGCCCATGGAGTCTGTGATGGCACAGACAGGGGGGACTGTGATTCTAAAGCTGCTTCACCTGTAGCTGCAACCAATGGCACAATAGGAGAAGAGTTAAACCAGTTGAGTTGCCTCAATTCCTCCCAGACTAGCCACCCAGATGACTTCATGGAGACTGATGTACCCTGTGGAGCTGCAGCCACTAGGGAAGAAGATTTGGGAGATGGGATCCAGTCCCCAGCTGGAGTCCCAGAGGGGAAGGATGCAGGGAGCAGGAAGGGCAGCCAGAGCAAACTGAAGGATTCCCTCTTTGAGGGGAAGGTGCCCATAGTGCTCCTGGAGGATATCATGACTGTGAGGTCTCCCCAAGTGGCTTCTCTGGATGGAAGTGTCACATCAGAAAATGAGGCCATGGAATCCTTTCCTGAGCAAGACTCTGGACTCACCAACTCCTCGCTGAGCTCTGGCTCTGGGAGCTCTCCTGAGGTGCAGTTCTTGGGAGAATCCAAGAGGGACACATGTCCTTTGGTTGCCTCAACCCCTGCTAGGAAGGTTGGTCTCTTCTGCTGTGGGTTTTAAAGCTGTTGTGCTGCAGATGTTTGGGTTTGCTGTGTTCGTAGAGCAGAGGGTGGGTAAGATCCTCAGGAGTGGAGGGAAGGTGATGGTGATTTCTTACTGAGTTATTACCCTTTGGAATCTTCCTCTAAATCCTGCAGCCAAGGGATTGGATCCCACCTGGTTCTGGTGTATTCCCATGGTGTTATTGTCACTTTGAGCTCTGTCACAGGTTCACTTGATTCTTTCTTTAATGAAATACATGTCCTGGGACTTGGCAATTTGGTAACTCGGATAAGGAAAGTGTCTAAAAGCAGTTTTGTCCCTCAGGGACTGATGGGATATTGGGAAGGAATTCCTCCCTGGGAGGTGCTGATGCACTGGAATGGATTTCCCATAGCAACTGTGGCTGCTCCATCCCTGGGGGTGTTCTAGGCTAGGCTGGATGGGGCTTGGAGCAACCTGTGCTGGTGGAAGGTGTCTCTGTGTGGGACTGGGTGGTTCCAACCCAATCCATTCCACAATTCCATGTGGGAATCTGCTCCAACAGTGTTCATCAACACCTTCTCCCTCACCCTCACGTGAGGAATGGCCATTCCCAATCACTCCAAGCAGAATTATCCTTCCCACTGCTTCCCAGTAACATTTGGGATGGTTTTGATGTGTTTTTGGAGAAATCCTGGAATGACAAATCCTCCTCAGTCGCTGCTTTCCTTCCCCTGTTTGAAACTTCACCCAAATTTTCCCCAGATTGTGTTTCCAGCCCCAAATGTAAGCTCAGCCTAACCCTGTGCCCAACCTGTGGCACCTCCTTGCTTGGCTTTATTTCCCCCCAAACCATTTTCCTTCAGCAGCAAAGCCAAATAACACATTCCTGAGGCCATTCCCACCCCCTTCCTTCCTCCCCAGACCCATCCTGAGGTGTGTTTTGATGACTTCCATGGGGAAAGGACCTCCAAGGTCCATTCCAACCCAAACTATTCCACAATCCTATGAAATTAGCTCTGAATGAGGTGATTTATTGTCATGTGGAGGTGTCTTGGGGGCACACAGTGAGCCCTGCAGAGCTGAGCAGTCCTGGGTAACGTGCTCAAGTGCTATTGCTAGGCCTGACCTACTCTTAAGAGTGGATTATCTCACCTTGGTTTACTCAGCTACACTATTAGAGGGGGGGAAATGCTTAAGGTGTCAAGGTGAGGATTGAGGTTGTGCTGCCAGAGGTGGAGAATCAGGTGTGTGGCTTAGGTGAAGGATTGACAACTTGACTTCTGCCACTTTGAGCCTTTGAAGAAAGGTTTTAATCAACCATTCCCACAGGATTGAAGGGGAAGTTGGCCCACAGGTGTGGGGAAAACCTCAGTGGGCTGGAGGAGGTGTGGGTAAGTGAGCTGAGGTGTGGAGCTCCCCACGGGATGGATCTTCCATTCCTTGTGTGTGTGTTTAGCAAGTGAACTGATCAGTTCTTCCTCTGTGCACACTCAAGTCATTCATCTCTAAGACAAACAGACACTCTCCAGCAGGCATGAAGTGTTTCCAGGGTGGCAGAACTGCAAAGAAAGAAACATTTGAGTCCTGATGTCATCCAGTAACATTGGCAAGGTTGGAATAACCCCCAAAATGGGGCTTTGGTCCCCAAGCTCTGTGTCCTGGCATGTTTGCCTTGCTGGCTGGAAGCAGCTCTGATAACCTGCAGCTCCCAGTGGCAAAAACTCTTGTTTTTCAGCAGATAAACAGAGCAGATCAAGCAGTTGGGCTGTGTTAGTCTGGAAATCAGGGTTGAAATGTGGCCCCTGGTGCTGTGGGTGGCAGGAGGAAGAGCCAAGAACTCAAGGCACAGTGTGCTGAAATATTGACAAATTAAACCTTTAACCAACCTCTTGATGTAAATACCTCTTTTTTTTTCTCCCTCTATAAATAACAGCTCTGAGAGTAATGTGTGACCTGTTGGGAACTTGGGGCTGATGGAAGAGCAAAAAGGGCTGTGATTACAATAGAAAAAACAGCTTTAATCTGGATCATAATCCTTGTATTGGTGAAGTTCTATCATAACAAGATGAGTGGTAGGGTGCAAAAAAGAAACCAAACCACCCCAAACCCAATTGTAACTCCAAGAAAGTGACTTTGCCATAATTAAACCTCCCCTGTGCCATAATTAAACCTTCTCTGTGGTTCTCTCCTGGGTCAGAGCAGCTCTTTGTTGGTGTTGCATATGATATTCCCTTGCAAATGATGCTGAGGAGAGGTTTGTTTATGCAAACTGGGTAAGGTGAGGATCTGATGTAAACAGAACTTTGAGATGGATTCAGGCTGAGATGGAAATCAGGGAGATTGGATATGCCTGGAGGGTGTTCCCATCTCCTCCTCTGAGGGAATAGTGGAATGTGCTGAATATATTTGCAAGGACAATGTTGCTGTAGTTCAGTCTGGTCTCTTCCCAAGAGTTCTGGTGCCTCATGGAAAAGGAACGATGTGGATCTGCTCTCAAACTTGTGTTTTGTAATTCCAGGTACCTCAGAAATTCCACAGGAGCTCAGCAGAGAAGGAGAAGCTCAGATTGCAAAAAGTAAGGCACTTCCCCCTCACATACAAACTTCACCTGAGCAGTAAACAAAACCTTTTGCCTTTCATCTCAGGCCACCTGGAGCATCTCTTCTCCTTCTTTTCCTCACACTTGGAAGAACCTCCATGCCCCTTGGCTCTTCCCACAGCTCCTCCATACAGTTGGGGTGAGGTGTGGATGACCTGCTCTGCTTTTGGGCCCCTTTGGGGAAGGGATTACAAGTGTAACTTGCTGATTGCTTGTCAAATTTCCACTCTCAGGGGGTGATGCAGCTCAAGTGGACTAAGACAAGTGAAATCTTCAAGAGCTTTGATTTTTGGGCCAATTTCTTTCCTTTTTTAACCCCCAAAATGTGAGGTCTGATGTTCATGAATACATGAGGCAAGTGGGTCACTGTGTTTGTCCTTTGCTGGAGAATATTCCTCCCTGGAAATGCTTCAGCTCCAGGTTCTGTTTGCTTGGATGCAAACTCTACTTCCTAATTCTGCTCCCATCTTGCTTTTAGCCAGGAGGAAATGCCCAATATAAAGGATCCTGTTGGATCACATGGAGTTATAAACACTCAGTGCTGCATCAATGGGAATTTAGGGGATTATTTGAACTGCAGATAGACAAGTTTGTGCTTGGGAATTGTTATTGTGTTTCTTACTAGCTCATTTATAAACTTGTTATGTGTTTTATAGCAACTCCATATAGATATATATAAACCTTGTTGCTTTTTCCCAGTGCCCCATATAGAATCCCAATCTGTTGTTTTCTTCCCTTCTCTCCCCTAGGTTAAAAATAGCAGGA